AATATGTTTACAAGTTCTGAAATAAACACCAAATTTACAGTTAAGAATACAACATTTGGAAATATATAATTGTTAACCTTTATGCAAAATTGACCACTTCTGAGGATTATGGCACCATTAATCTGAAAATTTACGATTTTTTCTTTCCAAGGATATATGATTTAGCCATGTGTTCTATGGGTGCAATAAATCACTTTTTTTTATGATTTCACCGCTGGTCTAACATGGTATCTTCTATCTTTTTTTTGTCACTTTTTTAATTGACTCGGTTTGGGTATGGAAGGGGAAATTACAGTCATATAAATTTATAGACAAATACAAATCTTAAACAACATACAAACTATATAAAGCAGAATTGACATAATCGATGTTGAATAGGCGAAACTTAGTAAGGCATCCTTTGACATCCAGAAAAAAGATTTTTTTTCAACCAGCTTACAAAACAAAAATGGTAAAATTCAAATTCAAAGATTTAAATATGCCATAAAACGAAGATAAAACAAAATCTAGACTTTTTTTTTAAATGTTTTTGGTTGTACATGGTGTATGAAGTTGAAAAGGAAAAAAGATTTCAGAATAATTATTTCAAAAGGCATGCCAGTTAAAACAAATAATAAGAATAGATTGGAGCCAATCCTGTGGAAATATAAGTTTTAATTAATATTACCTTCTGTTTTACTGTAATCGGTAATCGTAAGTTGGTAGTTAGTTCTCTCATACCCCACATATAATGTTTTAAAAAATATATTTTATGTTGATTGAAATCCAAGATGTCAATGTAAGCGAGCGCATACCGAAATAACGTATCACAGTTTATGTTCACAATAAACAAAGGAGCCAACTGCACTTCATCATTGATGACAAGAAAGCATGCAAGAGAATGTGACAAGTTTATTAAGCAAGAAAAATATCGTTGATATTATTGTATGGAGGTGTAAAATACATAGCAGAGCAATCGTATCTGACATGAAACAAGGCGTTCGCATTTCTTTAACTCGTAATATCAATACTGTTCTAGATATATTTATGTTTATATGAATCTGAAGTGGTTATTATTCCCATTATAGCGTTGAGTAATGTGTCATTGCATTGTAAAATATTTATTATGGTCATATCGTTTTCGCTGCATGTGAAGCCAAGATAACCTTGGTTTTTGATAATTGAACTGAATTTAGTATACCATTTTTTACGGATGTCAAGATTAATACATTGATATAAAAAAAAAATCAAAAAAGTGTTTGTATTATAAAGGTTTCATCTATCATACATTTTTTCTTGTGTTTTTTTATTTCTTGGTTTAATCATCATTCTTGTCTTTGTTATGCCGTCTTTGCGCCACGATTTCCAATTAAGGTTGTCTTTGAACACACCGTTGATGTTGGCATTAGTACATTTCGCATGCCACCAACCACTATTTTTGGAATCAGAACACGACCGAAGTGGTTTTAAGTCGTTATCCTTGTCACGAGTAGAAAACATCATACCATTCATTGGATTGTTATCCCCATCGTTCATTGAATCACCTGTAAATTTAAATTTAAAATATGTAAATTAAGGCAAAGTATTTTACCGATGCTATGATTAGTCGGAAAACAACAGCACAGTACATTAGTGAGATACTTTTTATACGTCTTTCTATGGAATTAAAGACACGTATATTAAAGAAGATGTTCTCTTAACACTAGACATGACTAATATCACGATTTAATTACATTCAAATCATTGTAACAATGACAATGACATTATCTTCGAAAACTGCCATGTTCATTTCAGCTACAGGCAATTGTTACCCTATGTTCTTATGATACTTTTGTATTTATATTCATTTAACTCTCATGTAAAATGGCAAATTTTACAGAGATTCTAACTACAAAGTAGGTTGTTCTAAAAAAGAAGTAGATATTGTGACGATAATATGCTGCAAACCATTTATTTCAAATGTTAGCTTAAAGTTTCCTTTGAACTTGAAATGTGTCTGCTCAAGTGTGAAAAACTGTAACACAGTATACACAGTACCAGAAACATTTGCGGGGTTGCATGTACCATTAAATCGTGTAGAATACAAGTATAACCTAAAGTCTTTTTATGACTGTCCGTCAATGAATGAATAAATGAATGAATGAGTTAATATTTTAAACATAGCATATAGTATAATAAAGTATGCTAGCTCTACTCTTTTAATTAATTGATATGGTGACACAATCATACCACATCTTCTTATTTAATTTTACAGTATTATGTGCTAAAGTATAGTAAACAAACAAAAATCATGATGTTATAATAGATTTAATGAAATGCATGCTTAAATCAGAGGAGTGCAACAAGGAACCATGTACATTCACATTTTGAATCTTGTTTCTTACATGGTATACGTAGAAACAGAAAAAGGTATACGTATAGCATTCAAAAAATGTGTCCTTCTTTCTAAAATTTTCCTTTTAAAATAAATCATAACACGACAGGCTTGTTTTCCAATAACATCTATATTGAATTTCTTTTGACGGACACTATTCTGAATCGTGTTAACGTTGCTTTTCGTAAATTTGTTGTTTTAAAAAAAAAGCAAACCGGGCCTTATGCAAAGACAAATCCGGGTCCTTCCATTTTGACATGACCCATTTATTTCGTTCCATGCACATAAATACAAACATTGAGAAGCACGAAGTGACGAAATTTTGCAATTTCCATCTTAATATCTTTCTTGCCTTACCTTTCTTTCCATACAATATGCACAATTTAACGAGAAATTAAACAAATTCGATCCAAAGGTCATTTAATTCATCATTTTGACATGCCTTTTTACTTTTTTCTCCGTTAATTCAGAACGGTTGTAGAAAATATTTTATCTCATAATTGAAATTAGTTATATGTTTATTTATTTTCTTCAATATCATAAAAATAACAAATAAATAAATAGAAATCCTACCATTTCTCTGTCTGCCGATGGTCCCTCACCGTACCGGATATTATATACTATTGAGTCCGAACATTTTTATCCGGGGTAGTTTAGACACAGTGTACTTAAGTTTTATCAATATGGAATAATATTCGTATACTACTTGTATTAAAAAGCCTGCTAAAATACGTCATTTTTGCCTAATTACCCAATAGCAATGTTCAGTCATGTTGCTATCAATTCTACAATATTATGTCTGAGTTGAAATGAGTTTTATCGGAAAAGCTTGAAGATTAAGTTCAGTGCATTTTAAAATTGTTGATATCATAATGGTTGAAAAGTAGATTTGAGTCAATATCAATATCGTTCTGAAAATATTCAATAACATGGCGGAAAACTTCTTTTCTTGATTTATCGTGAAACATGGTAAAAATTTACGCAAATTTGTATCTGTGGATCAAACGATCGTGCTAAATTATTTTCTTTTTCCTTAATCGTTTGTTTCACTAAATTTATATCAAATTCTCTGCTAACGTACAAATAATCATTGTATATTTTGTTGAAAAAAACGTAGAAATGTTTAATTGTAACTTTTTATCTGTACACTTTCACAAAAGGTAAACCATGAAATTATCAGTCATCCAAAACCATAATTGAACTGTTTCATCCAAAGAACATTTCACAGCTTTTTTTTAATTGAAAATTGGAATTTCCACGTTATTCAAGATGAAATAAAGTTAAAAAAAAAATGCAGAAGTTGGTCTCAGTTCCCCTATTCAAAAAACGGACAGAGGAGCTCGTTGAAAAATGTTTGCCTTAGATGACGAGTCTTTTCTAAATGTTTTATAGTCTATTCTCATCTTCTGTTTTACACCACTGTCTTGTACTAGGCATTTGATTGACTTGCAAGCATGTTAAATCCGGTCGAATTACGTACTGTTATCATTGACAAGACCGGACCCATTTATTTTACAGGGGAGTGTCACCAACATTTACTTTCAAAAAATTTCATCTTTGATTAATTTTTATAAGGTCAAAAAGTATGAACAGAGCTAAGAGTGACAGATGGCTAACAATTTTTTAAATTTCATTGTCTTTGATGTCTGCAGGTAAAAGTTCAAACGGGTCCATTAAATTATTAGTGTAAACACAATGCACGTGCAAACCCAAACAGTTGACTAGGTTAAAGAAAAATGGTAATTCCTGTTTTTCCGAACGGCAGTAAAACGGTTATCAAAGAAAGGCATCCGTTTGGCTATGTGGGATGTATAAATTCCAGCCACGTCTGGTCTAAATTATGACGTGAAATCCACTGTCTCGTGTAGATACTGCCACGCCCTCTGCACGTTAAGAACAGAATTCTTTGAGGGGTCCATAGGTGGCATTTTTCAAGGGCTAAATTTTGTTTTCCAAAATAACAATTGCTGAATTGGTAATGCTGATTTTATATTTGGCCAGGCATACAAATATACTTTTACTTCAAATGATTATTTACTCGGTCTTAAAAAACTCGACTCACAAAAATCAAGAAACAGTTTAGATTTTCGATTATAACTCGTGCATCTAGGTTCTTGATATCCAATCCACAGAACAAAAACCAATAACACTTGTTTTTTCTTCATGTTGATCCTTTTTTTTAGCAGACAATTGAGAATTAACACTTCATTTTCACATCTCCACACAATAGGTCCCCAAATAATTATCAACGATCGGTACATTACGTACGCACGCATTCCCCCTACATTTGCGCATACAAATCATTAAATTTACGCACAACGTTTTATAAAGTTTTTGCAATTCATTTTACAGGTAATTAAAGGTAAACTTATAGATAATTCACATTCCATTTCTTAACGGTCCTAGATTTACCATTACAGCTTTCAATATCAATTTTCAGGTTATATTTAAATAACAACTGTACAAGGGGACTTAATCCTGTGTAATTATAAGTTTAAATTATGATTACCTGCTGTTCCACTGTAACTTGTAATTGTAAGCTGGTAGTTAGTGCTCTCACTCCCCACACATATTCCATCGTACACAGCATAAGCTGTAGTCTTATTGACATCTTCAAGATCAAATCGGACTTGGTAATTTTGTTGTTGTCGAAGAATATAATGAAGATTGTCATTTCCTTTTGAAATGAATAATAATTAAAAGATAATTAGCGGTACATATTCTGTCGATATACTGCTTTAAACCTTGAAAATTCATAGATATTTGTGTACAATGAAATAGATTTTTTGAATATCAAGAAATCGGCGAGCAACCTTTCATTCCTTCTCAAACAAGAAAACAAACAAACAGACATTTAAACGTTAAAAATCGTCTCCAACAAATAAATTGTATAAACACGATGTAATATTTTCTACCAAGATTTACCAAGATTAAGTACTAGAAAAGTAATTGATTTAGTATCAAACACCTGCAATCAACACAAAAAGAATAACACCAACGTAGATTGTAGTAGATTGTAGTAAGGAAAACCACTGACAAACACTTTTTAAAATATCGTGATTGTTATGGGCAACACTGTTCTCGGTGTTTATAAAGTTCGCCCTTTGAATTGTTCGTGTTATTGTCCATCATAAAAGCATAAAGTTTCAAGGTAGTATTTCGAGATCTCAGCCATACGTGTTGATGGCTATCAAACGTTCGATGAACACTAACAGAATCACAAGGCATACGTTTTGATGGCTATCACACGTTAGATGAACGATACAACAGAGTCGTCACAAGCCATTCGTATTGATGGCTATCACGCGTTCGATGAACGTGACACCAGAGTCACAAGCCATTCGTATTGATGGCTATCACACTTTCGATGAACGTTACAACAGAGTCACAAACCATACGTATTGATGGCTATCACACGTTTGATGTAACAAACAATTTAAGTTTTTGGATCTTAGACTATTACAAATATGCTTAAACATATAGTAAAATGTAAGTTACGGTTTTCACATGCCAACCGAATCAAGTTTGAAACTAATATTTTTATAAATATGCTTGAATATAATCAAATAGTTAGGTTATTCTATTAGCATGCATAAGGTCAAATTAGCTTGTATGTAAACTGCTGTTGTTGGAAAATGTTTATTTAATTTCCGTCTGTTGTTGATTAGACAAGAGAGGGGAAAGATACCAAAGGAACATGCAAACTCATAAGTCGAAATAAACTGGCAACGCCAAAAGAAAAAGACAAACAGTCGTACAAAAGTACACAAAACACAACATAGAAAACTGAAGACTGAGTAACACGAACCCTACCAAAAACTTGGGGTGATCTCAGGTGCTCCGAAAGGGTAAGCAGATCCTGCTTTACATGCTAACCCGTCGTGTTACTACAAACCGGTAATAAAAACAAAATTCTAATTAAAATATCTTACCAAGCCAATGTTCTCCTGCTATATCCCCAAATCCAGTTTTGTAATCCTCCCAATCTCTATAGAAATCAACATTTCCATCAAATCGTCTTTGAATTGTCTACAGATACAAAGTATTTTGAATATAAACGAAGATTTTAAGACCCAACGTCATGAAAATAATAGTATACTTCAGAATAAATTTTAAATAAACAATTATTATATTTGCAAACAATCTTTTTTTCAATTTTTTTGTAGAGTTTGTGCTACTATTTTAAAAAAAAAATCAATTTTCAATTTCTAATTTTCGCAGTTAATAATTTTGATACACTTTTTTTTAACGATATCTTTAAGAATGACATTTTCTAAAAAAATGAAATTAATTGAATTAACAATGTTTTATTATTAGATATAGAGTAAGTGCATTTTTTTTCTATAACTACACTTCAGTGAAAAAAATTAATACAGTTATATTGCCATATAATCGGAAGGTTTGGCTAGCCATACAACCTGGTTCAACCCACCTTTTTTCTTAAAATGTCCTGTACCAAGCCAGGAATATGGCAGTTGTTATCAAATAGTCCGGTTCTCTGTATGTTGGCGTTTGTTTTTGTAGCAGTTCAGTATTTATGTTGTTCCGTTGTTTTCCTCTTATAGTTGATGTGTTTCCCTCGGTTTTGGTTGTGACCCGGATTTGTTTCAGTTAAATCGATTGATGACTACTGAACAGCTGTATACTACTGGTGCCTTTTTTTATAATATTTTTTTTTTTATTGACAGAAAAATCTAACTTACCGTCCACCCTCTACCATCAGTGTCCATGTCACAAAACACAGTTATGGTTGGACCGTTTTCTGGCTGGATAGTATGTACCCCAGTACATGTTCCAGGAGGAAATTCGCTACAGTCGGTTGGTGTAGGAGAAAAGACCATAGCTGGTGAAAAGGAAATTACTATATACTTGTAGTATTATGATGCAATAGTTGAAATCAAATTATTATGATAATACACATCAAATTTATACGTATCAGTGCTCATAATGTAGGCAACATTTAATGGACTTGTTAACATCAATTTTGTTTTAATGGAACGATTTCGTTTACGTTTGGTCCTTTTTTTTTTTTTTGGGGGGGGGGGGGGGGGGGGGGGTATTTAAGCTAATCAACGTAACATGTGTCTTATTGTCCTAATATTCTGACTTTGAGCATTAGTGAAGACACATTATGTCAAAAACTGCATTTTGTGCAGTATACTTGGTACATTAATTAAATTTCACAATATTAGATAAAGTGCACAAAATGTCACGAATATAATTAAATTGTGTACATGTTTGTAGAATTTGTAAGCAACTACAAGGGACAGGATCATATTAAATTAATTATTTTAAATGGAGGTTAAAATAAATTGAGTAACCATAGATGAATAAACAATATCCCAAATCAAATGGGATATCAAAATAAAAAAAGAATAATAAATAGTCTTATATTATTCCTTGTCAACCAATAGGCAAAACGTTATCCTTTATGTTACAAAGAATCCAACAATATTTTTTTTTGTATTATTTTCATAAATTAAGGCACCTGTAGTTAACAGATGTTTAAATCCTATAATTCACATGCTAAAAATACAACACCCTCTATAGGAATCCTCTAAAAATGTAAATTAAAAAACTATTCAGGTATATATGTTCTAAGACTGCGAACACATGTCTCTAGTGATTTGATACATAGACCTATCGTATCGATCAACTTATTTATTATGTTGACATCAAACCGTTGTAGCGTCAAATTCATGCGTTTCTCCACTATTGAAAGAAAAAACAACTGTCCATACCAGTAACAGTAATTTTACGACTGATAATATTTGTCAAAGTTGTAACAGTTGTAAAATTTCACTGTTGCAGTTATTTTTTAACTGTTCCAACTTTAACAGTGTTTGTCTTATACATAAATCGATTGCAACAACGCTAAAAATAGTTGTCACAGTCATTATAGGACTGATACAATTATTTTAAAGTTGTAATAGTTGATTTACAACTGTCCCAACTCGAAAAACGTTGCAACAGTCATAAACAAACTGTTTTAACGACGAAAAGGTTGTCACAGTTATAATACGACTGCTGGAACCATTTGAAGGTTGTAACAGTTATTTCATAACGATCCCAAAGCAAAAAACCTTGAAAGAGTCATAAATGAACTGTTTAAACGCCGAAAAGGTTGTTACAGTTAAAATATGTTTGGTACAGCCATTATATAGTCATAGCTACATTTAAGTTTCGCAACTTCCAAACATTGATCAAGTCATTAAGACTATTAAAAGTCACGGATACAAAATTTCTGACAGTTCGGGATAGGTTAAATCATTTGTAAAACAATTTCACTTTGCGTATTAATAAAGTTGTAACAAAATAGACAGCATTGTCGCACCCATTTAAAACATTGATTTAAATAATAACTGATGTAAAAGAAATAGGATATTGAAATATTTGTCACTGAATATTTTGGTATTCGCAACTAATTTGGTTATTTGTTTAACTTATCAATTTATTTAAAAATACCTTGCCTCACATATCTTTGAAAAAAATTCTGAACCAGCAATTTCACATGGGGCTGTCTTATACGCATTAAATACTTCATATGAAAAAACACCTCACCTATAAGATAAATTGAAAGCAGATTTTTCCAATATCTTCAACGGTAACAGTTAACCCTTTTCAAAATTATCGAAACAACAACTTTTTAATTAAGTCAAAGGTGTGAAATCATTCATGCATTTAAGGCTATCTCCAATGCCCGTAGTTTTACGAATCACATCATAATAACGGTCAATATATTATAAACCCAGCGGGAATATACATACCTGTCATCCCCGTTTTAAACTACTTATTCCCGAGGGCTTATTGCATACGGCATGGACACTAATAGAAATCATTTGATTGTTTTTTAGCTTTTATTTGAGACCACATTTTTTTTTGTAACAAAATTATAAACATGATAAATATTGTGGTATAAACCAGTTTTAATATATATATAAAAAAAAATGAATCAAAGCTATGATAACTTTTAACGCACGCTTTGCAGCTATTGAAAACAAAAATATTCTAAAATCTATTTCAATTCAATTTGTTTTAATATTACCTTACTTTATTTTTGAAAAGTTTAGTTAAAGTTTAATATTGACTCGACTTTGTACTGTTTAATGTACCGAGTGGTCTATTTGAAGTTCAATAGTCTTAATGTATAAAGCACGTCAGATGGCATTATTGAGGCAAACATATTATGCCTCGAGTTAATTTATATTTTCACCGGATTTTTCTCAACCAATTTATGATGTATAATTTGTAAAAATAAATTTATAGGTGGATGGACATACTGTTTTTTTAAGGCCGACCCAATAACTCTCGTTAGTGAACGTTAAACTTTTGTAAACAAGAAGACTCGGAGATTAAATCATCTTTTATTTATTCACACAACGGTTTACTGCTCGTTGTATTAATTCATTAGACTCTGGTCTTGTTGAATTCTACATGCTGACCTCAAGATGACTTTTTGTGATTTTTTTCGTTTCAGTTGATAAAAAACATGTCATACTGACGGTGACTCAAACCATTTATAAATTCACATAAACGCCTGTCTGATATTGATACATTATTCAACCTGTAGTTAGAAAAGGAACAATTTTACCTTGTGAGTAGTTTTTGTGTTATTATAAGGATGGACTGAAAATAAGTATTCTGGCCCTGGTCTGAGTAAAAATATATAATCTTGCCGCCTATATGTTGGAAAAAATATTCTGACCTCATCAAATTTGCCAGTTGAGTTGCTAACTTCTATGCATTTGGGCATGTTGGGTATCGGGTGGAAAATTGTCTTAATTGCAAACAAGTACCACATCATTTGATTTATCATGATCTTATAAAAAAAATCTACTAGTTAGAATTTTCATGACTGTTTTTGTTTTTGTTGAAAGCTATGTCATGTATATGTTGACCTCTAAATTAAATTGTTGTTGTTTTTGTGTTGATGCCTCATCATAGCAGGTTACTCACATCACCCGTTTTAATATCATGTTTTAGCCAGCTGCATATTTGTATTTCATAAGCTTTTCACACCATGCTATATTAATAATGTACAACAATAGTTATAACATTGTGTATTCACCATTGATAAGCAAGAGAGTCAAACTCTAATTGTACAGCCACAAAAAGAAAATTCCAATTCTCATCCTCCGTCTTGAAACCACTATTTATATCATTTTCTTTTTTTATTTCTTGTTAAATTTTTTCTTTTGCTAAAAGTTTTCGAATCATAGCAAATTAAAACCCCAAAATATGCTTTCAAATAAAATTAAAGATAAAACAAACAGCTCACCCTATAGTACATAATACAAACACGCCCTTGTAATGCAAATTGTGTATAATAAAAGGGTAGCAAAAATATATTGGGATATTTTGAAGGCATTTATTCAAAAGCAAATAAAATGATTCTGTAGAAAAACATGCCCGAGATCAGAAGCTTGTAAATATTGGATCACATATAACGGATTTTGGTAAACCATAATACAGTTGTTATCAATGGGCCTATAACAATAGGAGACATCAGATATGATAATCAAGAAATTATTGTTTTATATCCTTAACTGACAAAATTTTTATTAAATTTTGTCGCCAACTGGTATTAAGTACTGGTGACCTCTAAACATGTTGGTATGCATAATTCTTTAGTTTTCAATCATTTTTTTATAAATATTTTACTTTCATTCTTATATGGTGGGTTGCAAAACCCTGATAGAGGCTTCTTTTTGAATGATTATAGTGGCTTTTGTTTGTTTGTTGAATTTGATGGTTGTGTCATCGAAATTCATACCACATCTCCTTATTCCGGTTATTTTACATTATACAAAACTATAATATTATCAAATGAATGTTAATAATCATTGTTAATAGTTGTCTGACTTTTGATATAAACAAGAGTGAAAACGCTGAAATGTCACGTCTGATTTACCTACATGTATAATTGAATTTATGAACATTGAAAGTCTGTAATATGAAAGTTTTACTACAATCATAACAATTGCAAGTATCACATACACTTAAAATTCATGAAATTATCAATGATCCATTAAAATGAAGTCAAAGTCAAATTAACAATGCCAGACAAATGATTTACAGCTTACAATCATTCCATAACCCAAATTTAATGAATGTAGTGGTTTATAGTACAAATGTATCGGAGAAATAGACTAAACATCCAAACCATGAAAAGAAAATATTGTGCAATGAACCATGAAAATGAGGTCACGGTCAGATGAAACCATCCAATCAAACTTGTACACCTTATGATCATTCCATATCTCAAAAATTGTGATCTTATAGCTTATAGCATCTGAGAAACATTGGGATATACAAAAACTTAACATTGTTCAATGAACCATGACATTGAAGCCAAGGTCTGATGAAACCTGCAAGTCAGACATATACACCTTATTATCATTCCACACCAAAAAATAGTTGATCTAGTGCTTAAAGTTTCTGAGAAACGGACTTGACAATGTAACTACTAACTAAATAACCTAAATCACTGAATCTTGAAATGAAGTCAAGGTCGGGTGAACCCTACCTGACAGACATGTAGACCTTGCAAGATACCCATGTACCAAATATATATAGATATATGACAGACAGAAACTTCATATCAACATATTTACTATCTGAATACAAGATAAGAAGCATCCAGGTCTTTTAGCTTCTAAAATGTAAAGCTTTATACGAATAGTTTACACTGTCGCCGCAACCAGATTGTAATACCTATTTCTTACATACTTTAATTTTTTTCGCAGGCGAGATAATAAAATGATACTTTGAAGTACATGTATTGTTTAATTTGATTGACCAGTATAAAATGCCAGTTCCACTTTGAACAGTAATTTAGACTTT